AAACACCAGACGGCAGACAGCTAGCTAGAACTTAGAATGTAGACAACTTGAAGAAGTACTACTTCGAAGACTTATAAAAATCCTTTGTAAATGAAAACCTTATCAATGAAAAGTTGCTTATTGTTTCCAATTAAATTTTATTTCATTTTACCTCATTAGATATGTTTCCTATGGGAACAACGCCTGTGTAATGTGCAAGCGGCGAACTCTAAATCAAGCGTCTGCTCCAACAATAGTAAGACATTCGACGACGCCCATCGCATGAATTTTCTTACAGAGAGTATCTCCCATTTGGGTGGTACATTGCTCTATAAACGCAAACACAAACGGCCCAATTGACTACTTTAATGGCTTAGCTCATAACCGTTTGACCTAAATAATCTAAAATGGAACCTAAACAGCGTGGTAAACCGCATGTGTTATGGACAACAGCCGGTAACCAGCCGTCATTTCAACTTAGATTAAAATCTTATAATAATTTTATAATGTACAGTCCTCCCGATGGGGCAAAAGGACGCCTGAGTGCATTATTTTTTATGCGCAATCTAGGTCAAACTTGACAGATGACCCAGACGGTGGAAAAAGAATTCTTGGTCCAATGGACTGAGTAACGCCAAAAAAACCGTCTGGGTATCCAAGTTCATGCCGCCTGAACCTTGGACGGTTGTGGACTTGGTTTAGGGCAACCACGGTAGTGATTGATTGACCAAGGGACCTCTCATACTCTATAAAGTATCAAACGTTCCCAAGTCAATTAATCTACTTTGTTAAACCAACCACACAGCCGCCTAAGGGCAAGAGGCCAGCGTTAGTTGTCGCATGCAATAAATAAGTTAGGCAAAAAATGTAAAATTTAAAACATATATAGAAAAAGCAAGAAAAATTGCAAACTTGAAAAAATTGACGCAAATCAAGACAAAACCGACTCAGTCGGTCACTTCATTAATAAAACCCGACCGAAGGCCGAGAGTGAATTTGTCAAGCTGGATCTACATCCAGGAAAATAAAAAGATTTTTGAAAATTAAAACACATACTCGGCGCAAAGGTCGGAAATACAGACGGCCCAAGGCCAGGAGAAGACAACATAAAACTTAAGATTGTTGAGGTGGGGGCACGGACTAGTCCTGGCTAGAGGGGAGCTCACCTTCCTTTTGACCCGGCTAAGAAAGAGTAGAATTAACCAGCTTTTGATCATCATGTTGCTTATTGAGCTCCTCTTCACCATCTTCTTGCTCGTCCCCGGACGGCTCCTCGATGCCGGCCCACTCATTAAATGGTGGCGGCGCTTCCTAGCCTAAGGTCTGGGCATCGTACACCTCGCTGGCGTACTTTTACCTCAAATCAAAGAAGTCCCAGGCGATATCCGGATGGACGAGGTGCCATGCCGTCTTCATGCGCTCCTCGCAGTCCTTCTCATTCTCTGCCACCAGTCGCTCTTGTTCCGCCTCCAGAGTAGCCTTGTGGTCGCTCTGCACCCTGGCCATCTTATCTTTGAGCCAGTTGACGTCTGACTAGAGCTTAGTGTTCTCTTTGTTGGCTCCCTCTAAAATCTTTGAGGTCCGACTGAGCATTTTTGAGCTCAAGCTCCAGATCAGACACCTTCTTATTGGTCGTCTCCAGTGCAGCCATCAGCTCCTTGATAGGTCTCCTTCTGTGTCATCTCCTTCGGGTATGTCATATATGATTCCCATGGATTCCCCGAGTTTAGAAATAAATCATTGGGTTATTTTTGAGCAAGAAATGGCTTATTGGAGTAGTGATACGAAATAAATGATTTGAGGACGAAATTCATGATCTATTAGTAATTAGATTGGGCGATTTTAGAGAGCCCTCTCCGTGAAGTGTCGCGCCCGCGGCAGGCTGGGGAGAGCCCTCTCCCAGTCCGCGGCCAGCCTTCTCCAAAATCTAAGGACGAATTTCATCTCTTCGTGTCCGCGCCCGCGACATGAATAGCCGCGCCCGCGACAGAGACACCCGCGCCCGTGGCATATGTCCCTGCGCCCGCGGCTTGCGTCGATTCAGTTTGCGATTTTTCGTTCTTTTATAAAAGAAAAGAAATTATGAAATTGAAAAGGAAAAAGGAACATCAATTGAATAACTCACGTAATTACATAAGTTTACTGACTCACTGTGGACATGCCACTTATTACTTTACTGAAACTGGAATAATTGAAATGCGGAAATGAATGCCCTTCCGAACATTATTCTTCTTATTGGTATATTAGTTGTAGCTTCCAGGATCGATTTCAGAGTGATCTTCCTCCTCCATTGGTTCAGGTGACTCTGGTTCTTGCTCTACTTGGACAAAATCTTCATCTTCCTCATCATCGGATGAAATATCAATTATAATTGGAGTTGGTGGTGGGTTTGGATTTGGAATTTCCATAATGGAACTATTAGCAGTATGGTTACTCTCATCCATCCTCTCTCCTTCTTGCCCTCCATCTGTCCCTGTTTGATTACCCTGAGTAGGTGAAGAACCTCCTGACTGATGACTAGTGGAAGGGGAATTATTCCCTGCCGGAATTTCATAGTAATAATTGGGATATGGAATTTGTAAGTGCTGACAATACTCTTTCTCAACCTTAACAAGGTATGAAATCAAGTATCTGTAATCAGGGTATCACTGTCCATAGCAATTTTTATATTTATAGTAGTTTGGGATGTCCCTTGGTAAATAGAAATCAGAAAATTTTACTTTGAAGCAAGATATGGAGGTTAATCTGGAAGACAGTGAATAATCATAGCAGAAACACGATCAGGAAGGTCATAGTTGATTAGGGGGATTTTCCCACCCTATCACACCTCGCCATGTGGACCAATCAGGTCCTGACAAGTGTCACTCAGTTTGACTTATCAGGGCCTGCCACGTGGCACACTTCAGCTGGTCCACCATGGACTTCCTATGCTGTGCCATGTGGCCCTTTAGCCTTGCCTAAACCAGTAGCAGATTGGGCCCAAATCCCAAGAAAGCCCAGTCAGTCCTAGGGTTGGCCAAAAACCCTAGAACCTGGCACACTTCCCAATGCTATAAATACTGTCATAAATGCTCATTAATGACATAGATTGTTCACAAGAAACACACGGATTGCACAAATCCCAAGACAATCACACACCACTCGGTACCGCCTGCTAGACCCGTCCTAGCATCCGGCACCTATTTACATTCCGCATTACAACTCCTTCATTCACTAACTTCATCGTCGAAGGCGGAGCTCCCAACCCAGGAGTCTCCGTTCTTTTGCAGGTGCAGACGCGTGGTTCCAACCTCGAAGTTGTAACTCTCCCAAGGGACACCAGAAAACCCCAAAACATTTTGGCGCCGTCTGTGGGGAGAGTACCTTTGAGATGGTATCACAATCTGTACCGACTAATAGTGACAAGCGTCCCGAGGGCAACTGCCTAGAGGACGACCCTTATGTCTACTCTGATGAAGACACTGAGCCTGAAGTTGAGACTCACACGACCCCAGACGGGTCCTTGAGGGCTCGACGCACTACCCCTCGTGAAAGGCAGGAACGACAATGTAATACCCCGTATTTTTGAAAGGTATTTTATAAATTAAAGAGTATTTAGTCTCGTATTTTTGACGTATTTTCTAACTTAAGAGTATCTCAGTTTTGGAGCCAAAATGATATTTGAATTTTGGCGCCTAAATCATTTATTTTAACTAAATGGATAAACTAAAAATTTTATAAATAGTATTTTGATTAAATAAATAATAAAACAAAACTATATTAATTAATAAAATTAGAGGCATTTTCGAATTTAAAAATCTGATTTTTGTAAATATATTTTCGGATTTTTCCAATAAAATCCAATTTTATTTAATATCTTGCTAAACTAATTATTTTCATGAAATAAAATTAATTTCCTAAAACTAAATAAATATCATTTTCGAATTTTTACAATTAAAAATCTGATTTTACTCTAAGTAAAAGTATTTTCATAAAATAAAACCAATTCCTAAACTAATGAAACATATTTTCGGATTTTATACATTAAAAATCTGATTTTTATTAATTATTTGCTAAATTAATTATTTTTATGAAATAAAATGATTTCCAAAATTTATCAAATAATATTTTAAGTTTTATATAATAAAAATCTGATTTTTATACCTTAGTATAGACCAAATTTCGGCCACCCTAATAATCTAGCAAGAAAAATTGATTTTATTCTTCCAAATACCTATAAACTTATTAAATCTTTAATTTTTGACAAATAAATTATTTTATAAAATCCCTAAACTAACATAATAGGTTCGAAAATATTGAGTAATATTTTGCTCAATATTTTCGGCCATTCATGGTTTTTCTACAAAGATTTTTAAATTATTAATAATAAAATCCTTTAAATTTCTTTACTTCTATTCTTAAACCTAAAATTATTTGATTCTATGTCATACTTGCACTCCAAGCTTAAAACCTACCAAATGGAATTTCATGATCAAATAAATATTATAGCCTTCCATATATTTAAAACCTTAATTCCTATTTCTCAAAAAACTTCCATAAATTATAAACCTTAAAATGCCATAAACCCGTCACCTAAACACCTATAAATACCCCTTTCATACACCCCAAAAATCACACCAAAAACCTCAAGAATTCTCTTCTTCTTCCTCCCTTTTTCTCACGGTTTCTCTCCTCTCCTCCCCCTCAAATTTTCCGGCCACCACCTCCGGTGACCACCTGCTGCCGGTGACCACCAGCAGCCGCCACTCCAGCCGGCCACTCTTGCTCCTCCCTTGCATTGGTTCCTCCACCATCCTTCAATCCCTCCTTTCTCTTAATCTTATTTATATTACTAATCATTTTCCTAAACATTATTTCTTACACAAATTAATTTTATAAAAACAGAAAAAATTCTTTAAATTAAAAAACAGAAAATTATTTTATATAATGATAATTAATTCATGCACATATAGGGTAGTTTAATTAAGTTGTTTGTGTTTATTTGATAGCCTTATATTAATTAAGGTTATAATTATGTGTAGGGTGTTCGTGAATTAGAGAAGTAGTTGTGAATCGCTTCAAGGTTGATCAAGGTACGTTATGTGGTTTGATACTTTCAAACTATAATTTTATGTTCCGTATAAAATTATGAATATTTACATTCCGTGTGAAATAGTATCTTACTACGTTCCATATGAAATTATGATTTAATGAAATCATACTTTATTAAACTCCGTATGAAATTTTATTTTACAACTTATATTTATTCCGTATGAAATTTGCTAAAGTCATAATTTATTAAGTTCCGTATGAAATTACATTTATTACATTCCGTATGAAATTATATTTTACGTTCCGTATGAATTTATAATATTACGTTCCGTATTAAATTATGAAATTATGCCGGATTGATTTTAATGATTTGGATTTAAATTAAAAGTGACTTTGAGTCGTAGTTGAAATTATTGGAAATGATTTGCAAGTTTGTTGCTATGTAAGTGTGATGGATTTTTAAAGAAGAGTTTTTAAGCAAATCAATCGATATGTTATGAATCCCACTTAGGGAATGGATTAGAGAAGACTATGGACTTTGCATGACCTAGTCTTTCCTCAAGCTTGGCCTTTGATTATAAAGTAAACCACTTGGGGGGTGTGCACACTTAGTGAGGAATTGGTTTGGAATGAATCGATTGAGTTTTTACTTGAATTAAAAGAATTGGATTGAAAAAGTTCTATTTGAATACGGCATTGGTATTTCTTGATAAATTAAACATGAATGATTTAAATTACGTTTTACTTATCTTACGCATGACTTACTTAGCATATTTTGCTAATACGTGCTTTTCTTTTGGCTTTTCCCTGTTTATCATTTATGGTAAACAGGTGAATATTTCAGGTGGAAATTGATTGATGCATACGGGAGTCCACGGGAATTTCACCTAGCTAGGAAAAGTTTGAGTCATTTTTGTGTCACGAATTATGAACGAATATTTACTATGGTTTATTTAATAAAGAATAAAGTTTTCCGCTGCAAAAGTATTTTTGTATAAGCCTTGCGTTATACGCGGCGGTAATACGCCCAAGCCTATCTCTACGGTATTTATACGTATTTTTCTATAATCTACGTAGAGAGAGATTTGGGGGTGTTACAGGCAAGACCAGGCTGGTCCAGGCCAAACAGTCGGACCTTCGGCCGACTCTCATCAAGCGGTCGACTGGACTGCTCCTGTCTCAAGGAATGATCTTATAACCATCATGAGAAGTTTCAAGGGTGAGATTCATGATCTCATCAACAAAAAGACGGCTGTCTCCCAAAAAGGGCAGTCGAGCAAAAAGCCTTCCTATTTTGGAAGAAAGAAGTCATTGAAGGACCGTGAGGCAACCCCCCACCTTCGCCAAGAGGAGAGGCGGGTACCTCTAGTCAATTTGTCCAAGCACCGTATCCCTGCCTCATTGGGAAGGAAACCAATCCGCCTGGTTCAACCAGACGACTTAAAGAAATCCTACTCAGACGCCCGGCTGCTGATTCAGCAGAAAAGGAGCCAACAGCAGTCTGAGTCGGCTTCCACTTCTGATTTTCCTGACAGTGTTCAAGATACATCCTTGAAGTGTTCAAAATCAAACTATGAGATCCGAACGGGCAGCACACCCTCCGGTTCTAGCTCTCGTCAACAACAGTCGGCACCATATGTTCCTCAGCCACCATATGTGCCACAAGGTCACTACTTTTTACCGCCTCCTCCTTTCGGAGGTCAGACGGCAAAGCATGTCCAACCTTTGGACTGGCAATTACGATTTCTTCAACTCGGAGAACAGCCAACCGCCTTCTCCAAGGAAATCTTACAAGCCGCCCAGCCGGCTAAAGTGAAAAATGTGTTAGTAGGCGCCTATGACGGCACCACTAACCCAGAGGATCATCTGATGGCATTCACCAATTTAATGTACCTTCAAGGATTGGACGATGCCACTTGGTGCAGATGTTTCCCGGCCACTCTAAAAGGAGTCGCCCAACAGTGGTTCGGCAACCTGCCGGCCGGCTGTGTCAACAACTTCAGGACACTGGCCTATTTGTTTGCCTCCAACTTTTCCATGAACATACCTGCCAGGAAGACGACTCTTAATCTGGGAGCCGTCCAGCAGGGAGAAAAGGAAGGATTTCGCTCCTACATAAAAAGATTCAATCTGATGAGGATACAGATACCCAACCTACCGGATGAGGTAGCCTACACTGATTTCTTCAAAGGATTGAAGGACGGGTCGAACTTTAATTTCGACTTAGTCAGAAAGAGAGTGGCTACCCTCCAAGAGGCGATGATGGAGGCCGAGACCTACATATAGGCGGTAGAACTCCGTCACATGGGAAAGCAAGGGGACCAGAAAAGGTCCGAGAAAAAGGAGGGTCGTACACAGAAAGCGGCTCCCAAGGAAGAGAAGAAGAAGAAAGATGTATGGATGGCCGACACCACTGGTCAGCCGTCCAGCAGAAAGAGAAAGGAATTCAATCCATACTCCCCCAAGTATGAGTTCAACAAAGATAATCATACCATTTTCAAAGAACTTAAGGGCCGACTCTCACTTGAGAAGCCGGCACCTATGACGGGTGATCCTAGCAAGCGCAACCAAGGCAAGCACTGGCATTTTCATGATGACGTTGGGCATGAGACCAACGAATGCATCAGTCTTAAGCGTCTGCTAGATAAGTTGGCTAAAAAAGGTGATCTAGACTCTTATGTCAAGAAACCTAAAGGAAAACAGCCCCCCAAACAGACACAGTCGGCCAGGCAAAAGAGGTAGAAATCGGCCGACAGCTCTGACACTAATGAAGCTGCCATCTATACAATAGCAGGCGGCTATGCAGGGGGAGGCCCGACTGTTCGGGGAAACAAGGATAACATCAGACAACTGGATGTTAACTCTGTTAATCAGGGCGAGACCTCTGGTAACTCGTTTCCCGAGGTTATTATTTCTGAGAAAGACTCGGGTGGTGTCCGATGACCACATGACGATCCAATTGTCATCGAGTGTAAAGTGGCCAATCAAAGAGTCGGCAGGATACTTATTGATACAGGAATTTCGTCGGACCTCATCAACCATAAGTGCTTGACCAAGCTCAAGTACAGGGCTTGAGAGTATACAGCCTGTTTCCCATCCTCTCGTAGGATTTAGAGGGGGAGTCGTCCATCCAATTGTTCAAGTTGACTTGCCCGTCCGTTTGGGTGAAAAAGGCGAGGGCCGCCACATGGTCATTCGTTTCCTAGTTGTGGAAGAGCTTACTGCCTACAACATGATCCTTGGGCGCCCCACCCTTAATGACTCTAAAGCAGTTATCATTCCATCCCTGATGTTGCTCAAGTTTGAGAAGGTTGACAAAATATTCGGTTCCATATGGGGAGACCAGAGAATGGCCAGAGAATGTTACCTCACTGACATTAAAACAACGGTAACTTTAGACGGCCCAACTGGAAAAGCCATAGAAGAAGCGTCTGCCCAAGAGGCAGGCGGCAGGAAGAGAAAAGCCTCCGAGGCGAAAGTCAAGAAAAAACGTAAACAATAGCAATCACTGGCTGAGGAGCGGCTGGATGAGTTCCGCCCTCAGCCAGCTGGGGAGCACGTAGATGTCTCCCTTTATGACAGTCTTCTAGACCGAACTGTTAAGGTGGGGACGACTGCTCTGACTGAGCTTGGTGATGATCTTCGCCAACTATTGAAAGATTTCCAGGACATTTTCGCATTTGAAGTACATGAGATGCCAGGAATCAGTCCAGACCTGGCGGTACACAAGCTAGCTATCGACCCTAAAAAGAAGCTGGTACGACAGAAGAAAAGGCATCATGGTGAAGAAAGAAACCAGGCGGCCGCCGCCGAGGTAAAAAAGTTACTTGATGCAGGTTACATTTGGTAGTGTTTCTACCCAGAATGGGTTGCAAATGTTGTGCTAGTCAAAAAGCCGAATGGTTCTTGGCGCATGTGTGTGGACTACACTGTTTTAAACAAGGCATGTCTGAAAGACAGTTATCCTTTGCCAAAGATCGACAGCTTGGTCGACTCAACAGCCGGCCATGCCTTCATGAGCTTCATGGACGCCTACTCAGGATTTCACCAGATCCCTCTGTGGAAAAAAGATCAAGAGAAAACTGCCTTTGTCACAGAGCAGGGACTCTATTGTTACACGTTCATGCCGTTTGATCTGAAGAACTCCCCGGCAACCTTCCAAAGAATGATAAACACTGTGTTTTTTGAACAAATTGGAAGAAATGTGGAGGCGTACATTGATGATATGATTGTAAAGTCAAAACTCCAAACAAATCATCTGGCCGACCTCCGAGAAACATTCGCCACACTCAGGCGGCACCGAGTCATGCTTAATTCAAAAAAGTGTGTCTTTGGAGTTGATTCTGGGAAGTTTCTCGGATTTCGGATAAATCAAAGGGGAATAGAGGCAAATCCTGACAAGGTACAGGCGGTCATTGACATGCAGTCGCCTCGTACCGTTCGAGAGGTACAAAGGCTAACAGGCTGCCTCGCAGCTCTCGGAAGGTTTCTCAGTCGGGCAGGCGACTAGTGCCTCTACTTTTTCAGGCAATAAGAAAGAAAGTGAAATTTGAATGGGGGTCGGATGCTGAGTCGGCCTTCCAGAAGGTGAAAGAATACCTGCACTCCCTGCCGAGGCTAGTTATCCCTTTTCCAAAAGAAGTACTTTACATGTATCTCGCAGCATTAGATCATGCTTTAAGCGCCGTCCTCTAAGCTGAAAGAGACGGCTGCCAACTCCAAGTCTACTTTGTCAGTCATGTCTTGAAGAATGCAGAGTTGAGGTACCCACTGGTGGAGAAATTTGGACTCGCCCTCTACATGGCAGTAAAGAAATTGAAGCCTTATTTCCTGGCACATCCGGTGGTCATATACACGGACCAGCCAATCAAACGGCCCCTGACGACCATGGAGTCGTCAGGACGAATGATCAAGTGGGCAATTGAGATCCAAAGCCTCGAGGTCACGTTTGAGCCAAGGAAAGCTGTGAAGGGGTAAGCCTTCGCGGACTTTATAGTTGAAATGACCCGGCCACCCGATTGTGAGGAAATTGATCAACTCTAGAAAGTCTATGTGGATGGGAGTTCCACATCGAATGGCTGTGGGGCAGGTATTGTATGTCAGTCGCCAGAGGGCGACAGGTATGAATATGCGCTTCGTTTCAAGTTTCATTCATCAAACAACGAAGCCGAGTATGAAGCCCTTTTGGCTGGTATCCGCATGTGCAAAGTAGCCGGGGAAAAAAGATAGCCGCCTGTTCCGATTCACAACTCATAGTCAGCCAATATAATGGGGATTATGAATCGACTCATCTAGCTATGGTTAAGTACCTAGAAGCAGTGAAACAGGCTGCAAGCTCGCTTGAAGATTTCCAGTTAACTCAGGTCCCAAGGTCCGAGAATAACCAGGCGGATGCCTTGTCCAAACTTGCATCCTCGGCCTCATGCGACACCCCTAGAACTGTATTTTGGGAGGTAATGGAAAAACGGAGTATTGAGGAAAACAACATTGCAATCCTTGATAGAAGTTCAACATGGATGGACCCAATCAGGGCATACCTAACAGACGGCACCTTGCCGGATGATCATCATCAGGCGGCCTCACTGAAAAAGTGAGCGTCCAGTTTTGAAATGGTAAAAGGGGAATTCTACAAGAGAGGGTACCTTCAACCCTTCTTGAAATGTGTTACCCCAGAGAAAGGGCGAGAGGTCCTAGAAGACCTACACTCTGGATATTGCGTCTCTCACATAGGCAGTAGGTCGCTTGCTCGGATAGTGAGGCGGCAAGGGTATTTCTAGCCGACTCTGGAGGCAGACTCCATGGATCTGGTTAAAAGGTGTGACAAGTGCCAAAGGTTTGGCAAGTTAATTCATCGTCTAGCTACAGATCTAATGGCTTTCCACAGCCCAATTCCATTTGCTAAGTGGGGCATGGATATACTAGGACCCTATACGCCTGCATCAGGCGGCAGGAGGTACATACTGGTAGCAGTCGACTACTTCACCAAATGGGTGGAGGCCGAG